TTCCAAGGGAAATTTTCCCTATTAAGGGGAATACAAATTTCACAATAAATATTATTTCGGTCTACATGATTAATATATATATTACAAATAAGTGTATTAATTATAACATACCATGGTCTAGCAAGACCACTTAAATAACAATAACATTATTTGTTGAATTTAGACAATAGAAACATAAAGTAACTTAATGATACATTATCAATGATTTAAAACAACAATGTAAATCAAATAATTAAATATTACAAAGTAATTTTTCAGTGTATTTGACAAAAAATTGTAAATTCTATAAGCATTATTTTCTATTGATATTTTTAAAGTTGTTTTTGAAGTCTAGAGATGAACTACCATTACATATATTTCGATTAATTTTCGNTTCATATAAATCTATTTGCTTAAGTCTAAACATATTCTTTGACCTGTTCATCTGTAATTGTTTGGGAGTAATCTTTCTTTTAACTTTATCTAATGCTGGTCTATCATAATTTAATGTTATAATCTTTTTAAGTTAAATAATTATAAGATGTTATATCTTTATCTTATTGATATCTATTAATGATTAGTATAAATATTCAGTTATTGGTATAACAAGATTATTAATGTCACTAGGGAACATGATTTTGCCCTTTTAAGTTAAAGACTGTTTCTAATGTATTTTGAGTACAGAATGCAAAAATGACCCTCAACATTTTCTGTCACAACTGTTTTTCATATTTTCAATTTTTAAGAAGAAAATGTAAATTATATGAACATATTAAAATAAGGCAAATTTTGTTGTCCACAAAAACCTCAATGGAAACCTAATGGGGAAATTTTATATTATTTGAAAAATAGCAATTATTGATGGATAAACATGAAAAATTTTATTTTACTCTACTTCCAATGATTTACTAGGAAAATGTTATGAGAGTTTTCTAAGAGGGAAACACTGATCCTGTTTGTCAGCATCCAAACAGCTGACAAACTGATCCTGTTTGTCAGCTGTTTGGATCAGTTTGTGTCTCAGATCTAGTATTGATACCACAAAAATATTGATACTTATATCAGGAATAGTTTTAAAGTATTGATATTGGTATCGGTCTTAAAGTATCAATACCAGCCAGTATCAACATTGGATATTGAAATTGGAAATCTTAATGGATGTCACCGTTTGGTGTGTTGTGTCACCGGTGATCCAGTTGTTTTTACTGTACTCATTTTAATGAAGGCTGCTTGGACGCCAGAGCAGTAATTAGTATTTTGTTGCTTACTCCAAGGGATGCTTACTGCAAGTCAGTGCATCAGTCAATACTTCAGTTTACACTCATATGGTGTCTTATGTACACAAAAGAAAACCCAGATTCTGCTATATAGTTGTATACTAATTGTATTCACAGAGCCTACAGTCCTGCAATGGGCTCTGAGTACTAGTATATATGGGATGGGTGGATAAGAAATCATTGGAATAAAACAGTGTCATTATTGTGTTCAAATTTTACAAATATCAGTGCATATAAGTATATACAAATTGTAGCTCATTTTAAAGATCCCAATGATCAAAATTAATTATGCAGTACTTTTGTTTCTTAAAGTCTAACAAAATATTTATTTATAAATAGAAATCAGAAGCATATGTAGATTGTGGAAATGAAATTAGACATAATACCTTTATTGATTTTTGGTCATTAATATTTTTTTACATAAGTTTAACTTAACTGAAAATAGTGTAAAATTACATTTCGATTTCTGATTCTGCTGCAAAATCCAGTTTTGGTTGGATCTTACCAGTCTGTGAAAAATTAATGATATCAAATTCAATACCTGAAGTAAAGTATTGATACCAGTATTTGTATCAGATCAAGAGTATCAAGTACAAAAGGTACTTGATATAGAAGGAAGGATATGGTATCAGCAGTATCAAGGTTCCCTACTCACAACTGTGCTGTGTGAGACAAAATGGAGGTGAAAAAGCATACAAAATGTCTGAATGATTTAGGTAGCTTTTGTTATGTTTGGGGAGAGTTCACTCCACAGTCTCAGAAGAATACAGATAATAATAAATAAACTTTTATTATTATTTTTTTTAATTAGAAACTAAAAGTAATTTATTTTCAGGGTTACAAAGTGTTTTATACTACACAGCCAAATCTGCCAACTTCTGCTTGGAATTCTCAAACAGTAGACAATAATCATTTAACAACAATAAGTGATTTAACACCACGTACTATTTACACAATACGCATTCAAGCTTTTACTAGTCGTGGTCCTGGACCACTTTCAGCTCCAGTACAAGTAAAAACACAACAAGGTGGTAAGTGTAAATATTGATAAATGAAAAGTTTAGATCAGTTTAGAAAATTAAAATTTTTATTTTATGTATGCAACATTTCTATATCTATTTCAAATTTAATTCCTAATTATTCTGCTTGTTTTTACACATTTTTCAATTTTGTCTTAGAGGTTTCTTTATGTTTAAATTAGTCATAACTTAGAAATAAAAAAATAACATTGATTTATTTCTTAAATTTAAANAGATGGAAGTGTGTTCCTTTACCTTCAAGGAGTTTTCCTGAATCTGACAACAGCAAAATTAAACGAAGGTATCTTTGTAGGATCTGAAATAAGAAAACCCCTTAAAGACAAAATCTTTGAGAAAAGGCTTAAATCTGTTGAATTAGCTGCTTAGCATTCATTCAAAGCAGTGGTCATTGGATTTCTGGGAAATAGAGAAGAAGAGAACTACGAATTTCTAGTGTCAGAGCTATTGAAGTGTGTTCTCAAAGATTTGTTGTCTCCATTCTCATCTCCACATATTTTCACAGAACTTGAGTGACATAAGTGATGAACAGGGAGAACAGTTCCATCAGGAAATTTCTGAAATGAAACACTGTTATCAGGGATAATGTGACCCAGCCATGCTGGGGATTATTACTGGACTTTCAATATATAACTGGACTGCTGTATGTTACTATGTATATAATTCGTCTCTGTAATCCAAAAAATTTCTGGTAGACGAACTCACAGCAAAACTTTTAGTTAGGAACTCGCTTTTATTCTTTTAAAAATTGGACTTTCAAACAAGAAAGCAACAGTGAATATAAAAGACAGTCATTGAAAAGAAGGCATTTTTGACATCTCAATTATGCATACTTTTTTTTGTACCATTACTTTTTTTATGATTTTGATAAATAGTTCACTGTTAATTTTATTGTTCAGTGGTGCCACCATTCATTTAAATGATGTCCAAATGATTGCCATATTGAATCAGGCTACAGTCTGGTTCAATATGGCAATCATTTGGACATCATCGACAGAGCATTTTTATGGTCATTTCAAATTCAGTACACCCATTTCTATACAAGGCAGGTAATTTTAGCCTGGAGGCAAGAAAAAGTTTTAATTAGTTTCCTGCGTAATTATTGTTTAATTTTATATTGCTAATCTTATTTAGTACTTTAATTAGTGATTTGACCAATATATTTCTTAAAATAGTTGCATATATATCATCATTATCATTGTAAATGTTAAGAAATATAGAAATTTAATCCTGAGTTAGCATGTCAGGCATTTGGGATGCTTTACAATAGAACTGTATCTCATTGGATATTTATCTTCTCTGAGCCAGACTGATTTAAACAAAACCATGGAGAACTATTGTGCTTCTATACTTCCTTGATCTAAATTTTATTAAAGTCTTTGATATAATTTAGTTCACTGTGTTGAATATCATATTTTGTTTCATCTTCTATAACTTATAAGAACATAATGCCAATTATTTTGCAAAAGTTCTTATCATCAAGAGATCTTTTGATTTCATAAACAGCATAAAATACTGCTATAGCACTATGAAGCTTTGCTATTAAAAAACAACAAACTACTTTACTAGGAAATTATTAACTAGAGAGGCATTCTACAGGATATTTCCATATGCCCATATTTATATCGTCATACTCTTATAAAGTCTTTTTTTTACTTTTGAAAATCTCTGTTAAATTAACCCCTTAAGCCCATAACCCATAAGCCCATAAAAATTAAATTTGTTCTAGAACTAAAGTTAAAAATATTGCTTAAAAATTTTAAAATATTACAATAAATTCTACAATACTAATTATAATATTTTCATGAAATAAACTATATACTGGATAAAGAATAAGTTAAAAATTACACCTTTGTCAATCCAGCATAAATTTAATATAATAAAAACGTTTTCAATCATTTTAAATGTTTTCAATTGTATTATATTTTCTTCTATTGAATGAAAAAGGAATTTGAATATGAATCTGGTTATCCAAAAATCTGATAATTAAATTAATAATTCACATTAATATTTTTTACAATATGTGACTGTTGAGCTGCTAATTTAACATATAAAATTTAGACCATAAAAATTATTGTATATATGTATATTCCATTATTCATTGCAGTCTAGCATTATATCTGAATAATATTTAGTCTTACCCTTAAAAAATTAATTTTTCTTAAATATTTTCTTAAATAAAATATTATTTAGTTCCTAGTCAACCAAGTAATCTTCGTGCTGTGGCTACATCCTCAACTACAGTCCAGTTAACTTGGACTCAACCTTCACATTCTGGTGAGAAAGTAATTGGATATGAATTATATTGGAATGATACATTCACCCAACATCAATATCATATAAGTATTCCTGATGTGGAGACTTATAAATTAAGTGACTTATACCCAGACACAACTTACTATGTTTGGGTTGCTGCCAAATCTCTGCAAGGGGAGGGTGCAGCAACACCACCTGTACCTGTTAGAACAGAACAGTATGGTAAGTTATTTTATAATTAAATTTTATAGTTACTTAGTAAATGACTATATAATTTTTTTTTTTCACAAATCAAAAATCTTTTTATTTTGTATGTATTTTGGTTTATAAATAAACTATAATTGTTTAAGAAAAAAGTAAATAATAATTCCGAAAACATCTTTAAAAAGTAAATTATTTTTAAAAATTCAATAACTTTCAAAGTATTAAGCAGTTATATTAATATAATACTCTAATTAAAATTTTAAAAAATCTTATTTTATTTGAAAGAACTGTTATTTCCTTACTTTAAACTTATTCTGTAATATTTTAATGAAAATTATTTAGATTTCATTATAATAAGAATTTTAAATCATAAAATCATAATCTGAAATGAAATCAATTTCTCATAACACATCTTTATTTGAATATTAGTTTTAAAAAGATTACTAATTAAAAAATTTTAGCTTATCTCTAGTGAATTCTAAAAATTTGAAGTAATAAAGTTTCATTATATAATATCAAATTATAGTAGGTGCATTTTTTAAATTGTACAATATATGTAATTTTAAACATAATTACTTTGATTAACTGATGTAAAATGATGATAAAATTCCTATTTCATTTTATCACTTTTTAAATAAAATTACTCATTTTTACAACTTAGGCATTTGTTAAAATTTCATTAAGTATGAGAAAAATGATTTCATTTAAAAGACATTAATTTTATTTATTATAGATTCACTACAACATTAATACTTTTTCATTAAATGTAGTAGTTTCTTTAACCCATTTATTGCTTGATGACATTATAGCAATTATTCTAAATTTTTTAATAAACTTACAAAAAGTCTGAAAGAGTTTTTTAAAATTTTACACAAAATTTTTTGTTAATTTAAACAAACTAATTGCTACTTTTTTTACTACTACAATAATTAAATTGAAAAATTTTTTAAATATTTAGAATATATTACATCAATAAGTTTTTATAAGATATATCTGCTTTTGATAGGAAAGTTATCAATCAACAAATTAAAAAATTTATTTATTTATTTATATTGAATATGAAAATTTAATAAATTGAGTTAAATCTTTTTTTCAGAATTTATCTTGATTGAAATATTTCAAATGAAAGATTTGACTTGCTAATTAAACAAATAATCTTAAAAAAAGTATTTTATAGATAGATATTTGAAATTGTAAATAGGATAAAAATGCTTAAATTTAAATATTAATCTACATGAAAATAAACAGTAAAAATTAATACTGTACAGTATATAAGTATTAACACTATAAACTTCCTGTTACTACCTCATTGATTTTTTATCAAAAGAAATAGTTTTTAAAAAAAGCATGATCAACTTCAAAACTTTAACTTTTGCATTCTATAGTAACTATCAAAACTTGCATATAATTGAAATATTTCAAGTTTTAATTAGCAGCAAATGGGTTAATGTTAAATGAAAGTTTTCATTAATTAATTTTTTTTTTCATTAAATCATTAAACAAAGTAAGTAATATATTAAAAATAAAATATATGAAATGAATTTTAGTTATTTCCATTACCTATTTTAAAGTAATATATTTTTTTTGCTGTGAAAGTTTCGTATAAATGTTGGTATGTAAGTAAAAAATTTGAATTTATGAATTGTGCACTGTAATGTGCATTATACATTTTTATTATGTATAAGCTATAATAAGGATTAATAAAGAAATTCAAAAATATATATTAAGTATAAATTATTTTTTCATGAATATATAAATAGAATTATTAAAATATAACAAAGCTGAAAGCTCACAGTTTTATTATGGATGTGGGTTGCCAGCTGTGCTTCCCAGTTATTCCAGACATACCTTTATAATACCTAACTGAAGGTGTGTGATAGCTGTCCATTCATAATTGTTTGGAAGCAGTCATTGTTATTTATTGGATAAATCTACAATAACATTGAATTCTTTCAAGCAGTTATAAACATGTCTGTTTCACACCTACAGTGAAATTAATCTCGCATGATGATAACCTTATTCCCAGTTTGTATTTGCACGCATGTTGTGCCAAGCCTCTTGTGTCACACTACTCCTGTTAAGGAGGTTGTCTTTCCTGCTAAAAAGTCTTGTGCACCAGACACTTGCATTGTTGTTAGGGCATGGTATCTGTATTATACATACATTTTTGATACCATCCCATTTCAGTTATGATGTGTGTGCGTGTCTGTTTTGTCCTTTGTGTAAATCTCAAGTGTAATTTCTGCCTAGTGTTGATTTATTTGTTTTTTTAATATTTAGAAATAGTCTTTAATATTATTTTTAACATTTAATTCTTATTTAAAGATTATTTGTATTATTTAGCATTATTTTCTTATCTTTATAAAGAAATTTATTGTATTTTAAATAAAATATAATTAATCTTTAATAGTAATAGCAATAATAATATAAAGAATAAAACAAATAATCTTTAAATGTTATTTTCAAAAGTGGCAAATTAACTAGATTAAATATGAAAATTAAAAATTCTGTTGTTAATGTTGAGGTATATAAATAGTAAATCTTTTAATAAAATGAAGTTTAATGTAAAATTTTGAATATTTAATATATTTTAAGTTTAAAAATTATTTAAAAAATGGTGGCCACTAATTTTTAGTTTTGTTATGTAAATTTTATTTTTATGTATTAGTTTTGTTGGTATTACCTTGGCTTTTTGCCTGTATTAGATCCTTGATTAGTTTTTGATTTAATCTTACCAAATTATCCCACTGCACAATATCTGGCACTTTGCCCTCCTTCCTTCCTATCCCTCACAGTGCCCGGCGCCCCTCCCCAAGATGTTACTGGCTCTGCTCTAGACTCCCGATCCTTACGCATCTCCTGGAAACCCCCTCCCCGTGATCAACAGAATGGTGCCATCATCATCTATAAGATCAACTACCTCAAAGCTGATGCTGGAGATGATTTGGCTCTCACCCATGAAGTCGAGGTGGGTCCCAACGAAAGATCATATGTCATTGGTGGGCTGGAGAAATGGACTGAGTATCGCGTATGGGTACTTGCAGGCACTTCTGTAGGTGATGGCCCACCTTCTCCACCAATTATTGTCAAGACAGACGAAGATGGTATGTATATCACCTTTCCCCTCCTTGTATTTCCTTATAAATTAATTTAAACTTTCTCACAAAAAATATAAATCATGCAAAGAAATATTAAATAAAAGCATTTGTACTGTAGATATAGTGTAAGCTTTCAACAACCAATTTTTCTTGATGATTTTTTGTGGGAAAGTTAAATACCATATCCTAGCTTCAAATCAATGCACAAATGCATGTTGCATGATTATTGTTTTTGAATGTTTCCTCAAACCTAACCTTCCCTTTATAGATCATCAGCTGGCAACTCTATGCCATATTGTGTTCCTTTTATCACTTCTGTCTTTTATCAACAGGTCAACTGGATACTGAATGGAAAACAAGCAGACTGTCTTTCTGTTTTCTGTTTCTGTTATTATCTTCCTGTCTTTAAATGTTGTGAAACCTAATTGGTTGAATCCAGAGGCATTTCTAGAATAAAAATTTTTATTTTATTATATAATTTAATTTTAGGAATAAAAATAATGGTTTTCTAGTAATGTCTCTGAGCATAATTTATTGTAGCAATTTTGGTGTTAAATGTCATTACAGTTACAAGCTTACAGAGGAAACAGGTAAAAGAACTAAATAAGTAATGCATATAAAAATTCATGTCTTCACTTGAAATGTTAATTATGTTTATTGAACAAGAGAGTGTATAAATATAGAAATATTGCTAAATTATTAATTTTAACAAATTTGTTTGCATGATTTGGTAAAATGCATGATGATTATTTTCAGTCTTTATCTGTTTATACATAAATTTTTAAAAATACATTTTACTCTTATTATTTTATTTTGTAATTTATAAAAAAATATTCTGCCTGCATTTTATAAAGTGCACAATCATTTTTGTTAATAATCTCTAATTTTGCTTATTCCTTAATACTAAATTCCAAATTAATCCAACTTGTATATAGAGTATTGTACATTGTTAATACTTAGTTTGAACATAGGTCTGATATTTTTAAACCTTTCTCAAATGAATTACAGAATGCATAATATTGTTTAAATAGTTTTCAATTAAAATATTTTTGTTTCATTTTGTAATTCAGTTTGAAAAATATTACAATATGTAGCAAAATTTTCTGAGCAGTAGCTTTATATGTAATTTCTTCCATAATGAATGATTGAGGCTGACAAATATGTTACTGTAATTTATTTTATCCAAAACAGTTATAATGTATTGGGTATTACCTACTTAAAATTAAATAAAAAATCTAAAATTTTTTATTTAATCTGATGATTTTTTAGTAAATAAAATATTTCTGTTAATCTTGGAGTTCTAAATTTACTTTGTTATTGCATATTAACTGATATAATGATAAGTATGTTTGTCTACCTCAACTTAGAGTCTGTATTTACAGAGTTTCCATATAATTTGGTCAAAATATAACAAAGCTGAAAGCTCACAGTTTTATTATGGATGTGGGTTGCCAGCTGTGCTTCCCAGTTATTCCAGACATACCTTTATAATACCTAACTGAAGGTGTGTGATAGCTGTCCATTCATAATTGTTTGGAAGCAGTCATTGTTATTTATTGGATAAATCTACAATAACATTGAATTCTTTCAAGCAGTTATAAACATGTCTGTTTCACACCTACAGTGAAATTAATCTCGCATGATGATAACCTTATTCCCAGTTTGTATTTGCACGCATGTTGTGCCAAGCCTCTTGTGTCACACTACTCCTGTTAAGGAGGTTGTCTTTCCTGCTAAAAAGTCTTGTGCACCAGACACTTGCATTGTTGTTAGGGCATGGTATCTGTATTATACATACATTTTTGATACCATCCCATTTCAGTTATGATGTGTGTGCGTGTCTGTTTTGTCCTTTGTGTAAATCTCAAGTGTAATT